ATAAAAGAAATTTTTCTGAGCAAGAAAATGCTATTTTCGCCTAATTTTGAGCTAAATTCTCCGTTTTATAAGCAAATAAAAACAATTTAACCTTCTTTGAGTGTGATTACAGCRAAAAACCAGCAGATGGCGGCTATGTCACACAAACACAGCTCTGAAAAGAACCCGTGACGTTTCACTCCCTCCGAGGGAAACTCACGTTCAGTGACGTAATGACGTCGTGACGTCGTGACGTCGTGACGCTACGTTGTGCTTCCTGACACAAAATGGTGGATTCAATCTGACACACAGTTCAGCAGTTTCTCACCTACGGAGCCAAACTCCGTCTTTACGCTTCCCAGCGTAATTTTATTTAGCTCCACGCAACCTTAGAGCAGGGCAAGCGATTTATAAGCTAAAACCGTGATTCTCACGGAACAGGGCAAGACTTTTCTGCGCGAAGCAGACTCCAAGACTGAATAAACAGTTAGCTTCCCCGTTAGCACTTAGCAGTGCTACCACACAACAGTGTGGACAGACTCTCRTCTGAATAACGCCTCGGCACGAACCTTTACGTTTCTTAGCCTCTAACGGCGCTGATAACTCCCTACACGTTATGTTTATTTATATAAAMCGTGGTGACACCWCTAAGTAGCGACCTCAGAGCTTTGTCATGGAGTTCAAACTGGCTACACTTACGCGTAAATTACGCACGTATCCAGACCAGACTTACGGTTCCAAACCCCAACGGTATGAACACACTGGATTTCAAAGGATCCTTTTAACTCATTCATCCACAGATGTGAGCACATGCATGCAATATCGCTTCTCAAGCGAAACACGGTTCCTGCTTCTATTAAGAGTCTGACGGCGCAGGACTCTCCAGCAGAACCACCTGTCTGCGCGCGGCGGCGCAGAGTACCAGAACCAAAACTGGACCTCAGCGGGTCCAAACGCACATTTGCCAGGATAAACAGATTTTTAACAGAGCTAAAGTCTGCAGTACCTTAGAACTGTTTCTGAACACACAAGCAAAGCCGTATTTTTAAAAAAAAACTCATGCCAAGGTGGTAAAAATTGATAATAATAATTTTTTCAGATTCATAAACAGAATTAATATCTCATCAATCCAAGATTACACAACTGCCCGCATTCTCCACCATTTTATATGTAAGGGCTTACTCTATGAGATTAAGACCAGCTCTATCTCACAAAGTTTTCTCCCACACAAGACCTTTGCATTATGAATCTCAGAAAATGATAAGACACCAACTCTGGTCATGAATGAGAAAAGAAAACTTGTGACCTGAACGTATTTCTCAAAATAAAGTAATTTATTTTAGATATATGAAC